AGTCTGCTGTGGTATCTCCTTCGCACACACACGGATTGACCCGATTGATTCTCTCGTCTGTTATGGGATCAGGAATGTGTGTGTGTGTGTGTGTGTGTGTGTGTGTGTGTGTGTGTGTGTGTGTGTTTGTGTGTGTGTGTTTGTCCTTTGTCCAGACATAGTTGGGGAAAACAAAGAAAAACTGGACTAAATGTCAAGATCAACACTTTTTTTTAAACTAAAGGAGTAAAATAATTTATTTCCGGTTAGATTTAGGTTTAAGCTTAGAAATGTTCTACCACATTTGGGTACTTACAGACAAATACAACATCATTAGAGGGCAATTCCAAATCCAGACTGATGGGGCAGGTGATTTATCAGTAAACTAATAACCCATTTCGCTTCCCTCTCATGACTCTGACAGGACTTTGGCTTTATTAGCACACGAAGCCTGTCAGACAGCCAGATGGGTTTATCACTGCAGGGCTGGTTGACTTTCACTGTGAGTTAATTAACACTTAGCCACAGCTTAAGGTTTTTAATAAGCACAAAACCCTTTTAGTGCTCACACTTGATATGGCCGTCTTTGTTATGGCTATTTAAAGCCATTAGGCACATTGGATTAAAGTGTTTTGTCTTCTTCTATTGAAAAACATAGCTGCATTGAAAGAAGCATCTTTTTTTCCATACATCTTCAGTTTTTCCCATTGAATATCTAAAAGTCTTTTTTGTTTATGGACTTATAATGTATGGCCCAGGCTCTAACAGGAATTCAGAGAACATTAAAACCTTTTTTTTACAGTTTGTGAGGAAGCTCATTCCACCACTGAGGGGGGAAAATGATGAATCTTGCCTAATGAGCATGTTTTATCCAGAGGTTGAAGACCTAAAGCTGGCAACGCATAGTTATGAACCTAGGTACAGGGATAGTGTGGAGCTTAGCCCTTTGAAGCCTGGAATGTGGGAACCAATGCTTTGTAGCCGTTTCCTGCTATGAATCAGATGACCAGCAGCATCCTGAACGCTTTATAGAAGAGGCACTTGAAGGAAGTGCCATTAAACAGGCAACAGCAGTAATCAAGATGAAATCCAAATGAAAGATTTTTAGCCATATGTGAGAAATGCATGGTAAAAAAGTCAGTGGTCGTGAGGATCCAGTGCTGAGGAGTTCTTTGCGGGTAAGTAAATCAATATTCAGTTTTAGGTGATGGGTCTCCATGCAGCAAAAGATCTGGAAGGTAGATGGAGGAAAACAGAAGTACGGCCTCCTTGTGTTATCAGCATAATAGTAATACAAAACGAATTCCCTCACTGATTGAAGTGATTTTGGATAGAGGGAGAACATAAATGGCCCAAGAACAGTCCCCTGGGGAACTCCAGCACTGAGGCTGTTCACAGAGTCAAAGGCAGCCAAAGAGGATGCAGAACGAGGGCATGTTCCTCTGGCTAACTGGAGGGTGATTTCAATGGAGGATATCCAGGCTTGTATCTGACCTGTATCAGGCTTGGTTGGTGTCAAGAGAGTTTCTATTAAAATGAGAAAATAGCTAAGCTTCTATAGACCAAATCAAAATGTTTGTGAACATAATATTTGCAATGGTAAATCTTGTTGCATTTGTTAGAATGACAAATGTACACAAGTATGTAATGGATTTTACTTATGTCTTCCCCCGTTTTCCAGTTCCCAAAAGCAGTGGAGCTGCTTTAAATAGTATAAATCCCCCTGAGGGGTCCACTGTCTTTGGTAACACTTGCAGCTGAAGCTAACAATTTAGTATCCTTTGCACTTCCAAATGAGGTTGCCAAATGACCAATAAGTGATGATATGTGTTGATTACAATTTTTAGAAATATTACTTTAGTGTGTTACACATAAATTGGCATAAGCCATAAGAAGCTAATGCTATTAGCATTCATGCTAGTGGCCACAGAAAGACTTTTTTGCTCATATTTTCACACTTGACTGAAAAATAATAGAAGCAGCATTTGATTCTGTATCTTATTCTGTGTAAATAAATATGTTTTTGAGTAAATACAGTAGTGAATAGAGCAGTACAGTATATTTCATGTCAGCCAACAAGGTAAGCTAACTTGCCAGTGAGGTAGCTAAATAGCCTGATTAGATGCAGTGGCGGACAAAGTACACAAATCATGTACTTGAGTTAAAGTAGAGATACCCAGGGTAAAATATTACTCCAGTAAAAGTAGAAGTTCCTCCCTTTAGACCTCCACTTGAGTAAAAGTACAAAAGTATTTGCCTTCAAATGTACCTAAGTATCAAAAGTAAAAGTACTAAAAGATTAATTATGACTTTGATGTCCTATTAGCATTTTTGTAACAAGACTTCATTAACTAGCTTTAGGTGAAAATACTCCAGTGTCACTCTTGGACAACCAATCTTTTAATAGTTTAAAAATTACCAAAAGCACAAAACACTGAAGGCAAACAGTTTCCATTAGGTAGAACCGAGTGGCTCTGAAATAACTTTTTGCAAACAAGCAGTTTAAAGTTTTATTTAGATTTATTTGCAACTTAGTTACAAGTTTAAGTTTAATAAAAACTTTAAACTCATGTTCACAAAAGAGTTTTCCTTTACTAAACTGCATCTGTAGGTCTCTGTTCATAAACATGAACTAGCAAAAAACAAATCTACTATAAAATGAAATAGTGTTTGTATAAATTCAGAAAAAAGAAACCAGTCACAACTGCATATGAGTACATATTTCTATATTGTGGTCTATTTACATGAAGTTAGGTTAGTTCATCATTTATGTTGAATAGACACTCCCAAAAGGTTACGCTGCTGCACTGACGTTGAACTGTGTGCTGCACTGGGTCGGTATGACCAACAGGTCAAAACAAGCTCAAAACAAAGTGTGCGCTGTGTCCTGATTGGTGTGCTGCTTCACCATTCTTTTGTTTTGACATGATACATTTTTATACACACTTAAGCCAAAAAGAAACAGATTTTTTTATAATGTAGTGGAGTAAAATTAAGATATTTGACTTAGAAATGTAGTGGAGTGAAAGTAAAAGTCACCCAAAATGGAAATACTTCAGTAAAGTACAGATACAGGAAAAAACTACTTAAGTACAGTAACGAATTACATTTACTTAGTTACTGTCCACCACTGATTAGATGCTCTAGAGTCTGGGTAAGTTCTTGTTTTTACAAAGTAAATGTTTACAGTGTTAATGTTTCTTTATTAAGCCCTGCATTGAAATGTATGGCTGGGTCATGTTCATGATTATATGACATTAACAAACTATTTCTGTTTTTTCAATATCATGTTAAATTTTAAATCTCAGTATTAGTACAAAATCCTTTTGTACCAGCGCAGCGCTACCTGCGTTATCCACCTGGAAGTAAGTTGGTTTCTGTTTTGAAGTAACTCTGATTTGTCATATAGCCTTGAACAAAAAAATGGAAGGAGTGAGATGAGCCTGTAGTTTGCAACATTTGGTTGAGGATGGATTTAATGAGTGAGAACAGTGTGGTGTTCTTTCCGAATTTTTCTGTTACTTGCAAGAGATGAGTAGTGGTGTATGAGGCGGCTTTGAGTTACACAGTATGTGTGTTTGTGTTTCTGAATTAATTGTGCATGCACTAGTGAACGTGTGTGTGTGTGTGTGTGTGTGTGCGTGTGTGTGCTTGTGTGGCTGGATAACGGTACCTTGCAGGCCATTAAAATGTTTGCTTACATTATTCATTAACCTTCAGTTACAAATCTGTAACTTTCCTCACCCACTGAGCATGATGTGTCAGGTGACAGTCTCATTGAGCCTTTTGGGACTGATATGAAGAAAAAAGAAAGATAGAAAAAAGAAGATAGCCTTGCTATCCTCCAGAGACAGTAAAAAGAACCACCATGTCTCCAGCTTTCCACTTTCTACCTATTTGGCCAGAGGTTTTAAAGGGGAATTCCACCATGTGTTTCAAAATTTCCACATAATTCAATCATTAGGATGCAAACAAAGTCATTCAGAGTGCTTTGCACAGAAATGTTCCGTTCTAAAGAGGCCTACCAACTCAGAACTGCTCACAGTGATGGTGATAGGAAGCAGATGTCTATAGTGTTTTATGGCTCCTAAAGCTCCCTTACAGAAAGGTTATTACATGAAATCGCTGATGCCTGACACATTGTTGTACAACCGTTTTGTGATGATTTTTTAGCTTAAAATATATATATATATATATATATATATATATATATATATATTTAAAATGGTATATGCAGGGTGTAACCAGGCCAACCCATTACAATAGAAAACTTGTTTTTTATGGATTTAACACTATTTCACCATCATCAATACTACTTACATACAATTCAAAAGGATTTTTGAATTTCAGAAATAAAATGGCTCTTTGCACTGTAGGCGTTGTATTCGCTGGTTCTTATCACCACCACTGTAAAGAAATCAGAGCAAACAAGTTTCTCTACAATGAACAATTTCACATCAAACCACTAAATAACCCAATGTTTACATCTCAATGACTGAATCACGCAGAATTTTTAAATTTCCCTGGCCTATTCACCTCCATAACAGGGGCACGGCAGCTTGAGGCTAATAACAAAGTCTAATAGCCATCTGACCTCCACATACAGCAGAAGGTCACTGCTCTCCGCAGCTCCCTGTGAGGAGTTTAGACCCAACAAGTCCCAGCAAGATTATCTGAACAAATATTAACAAAGGTTTAACTTTTAAACCTGCTGCCGTCTATAGTTTATCAAAGCAAGGACTGTTACTGTTCTTTTTTGGTGGTCAAAATAAAGAAGGCTTTAAATCTGTGACACTATGATCTGGCTTATTCATAGACTAATCAAAAAACCTCAGCTACAGGAACTGTCTGCGTTGATTTTAGCCTGTTTTGTGTTGAACTTTTACTTTGTAATTGCATTGCACTGCAACATGCCGCCACTGAGAGTGCAGGCAAGGTGTGAACTCTGATAGAGCAGTTTAATTAGAAACAGGATAAGGCAGCTTGACACAGACTGACACTGAACTGAAGGTGCCAAGCTCAGCCTGGTTGCCTCTTTAACCTTCACAGGTTGGCTAATGGTGTATAAAGACTGCCTGTGTTCTAGAGTTACGGCTTGTAATCTAAGGAAAGACTGTAAGACCATAACTGTTTTTTGTAACAGCCATACTAAAGGGAGCCTAGATATGAGTTTAAGTCTCCTGTTGTCTCTATATCAGTGTGTTTGGAGTGGAAACAGTCTGAAATAGGGCAGCACAGCACAGCCCTTTTCGCATTCATCTCGCCTGTCGCTATGAAGAGAATGGACGAGGGAGGAGTTCCTAAGAAAACCTGCCTCACAGGTGGATGCTTTTCAATGTAGTTTTTTCACCCCCCTCTCTTTGTTCTTATTAACCAGTCTCAATATCAATTGTGTTGGAGTTCGGGGGAACATAAGCAAGGACAATAGAGAAACCAAGGGCATTTTGAAATTCATCAGGGGAGGTGAAAGCCCTCCGGTTTCGCCTTACAAAGTGACCGAGTAGACACAATCGGAGAAACACCTGAGACAGGACAGGAACTGAGAAGTAAGTGCTTATTCTCTTTACGATTTATTAAGCACTATAGTTAGCTTGTATTTCTGATTTTGAAGACGATGTTACATAAGCGGACAGCCTTGTTAATTTCTAACATTGCATAATTGATGATTAACAGCAAAAGAAAGAAAACACACCAAAGAAAAGTAACAGAGAAGAAACTTAAGTGTTTTTGGTCTTAAGGATTTTATCAGGCTCCTATTGTCTTGTTATTAAACACATCAATCATTCTATTGAAAGTTTGGCTAAGGGTTTAAACCTAAGACGTTGTGTAGGTGTTTTATTTGCAATTTAATGAAATTCACAAGACTAATGATACCAATGTGTTTTGACTAGGGCTTGAGTTCTCTGTGTATCTCTTTGCTCATTGAAATGATCAGTTGGTTTCATCAGGTGAAGTTAGCTTTGGAATAAAGATAAAGAGAAAACCAAGTGAGCCTAAAACCCATTTAGGGTGGATTTTATTCATGGTGAGTGACTGTTTTATGTGAAAGCATAGATGTGAAATCTAAGCCTGTGTTTTTTGTTTAGTCATGCCAATTTGTGTCAGTGTGAAAGTGATTTCACAAGCGTTGCTGTCGTGACTATTCTTTTCTCATTGCAGAAAGTTTGTCTAATTGCTACCGGATCAAAGCAGAAAGGTCTGGGCTGAGCCTTTGTTGAACCTTACGTGTATATTAACTCCCCAAGATGAGTGCAGCTGTCCGGCGGCGCCTGGTGTCCAAGGATGGGCGCAGCAGTGTGCGGATTGACAACGTGGAGGGCATGGTGAAGCTCTACCTGCACGACATCTGGACAACAGTGGTGGACATGAAGTGGCGATACAAGCTCACCCTCTTTGTTTCTACTTTCTTGGGCACCTGGTTCATTTTTGGAGTCCTCTTTTACCTCATTGCCATGAGCAATGGGGATTTGGAGCAGGCACCTGAGTCCAACCACATGCCTTGTGTGATGAATGTGGCGACTCTGACCGGGGCGTACCTTTTCTCCCTGGAGTCTCAGACCACCATCGGTTACGGCTTCCGCCACATCTCTGAGGAATGCCCCATGGCTATCTTTACTCTGGTGGCGCAGCTGGTCTTCACAGGTCTTGCTGAAATCTTTGTGACTGCTGCCTTCTTGGCCAAGCTGGCCCGGCCCAAGAAGCGGGCCGAGACCATCATGTTCAGCCAGTCGGCGGTAGTCTGCAGGCACCGGGGCAAGCTGTGCTTGATGGTGCGGGTGGCCAACATGAGGAAGAGCCTTCTGATCCAGTGCCAGTTGTCTGGGAAGCTCTTGTCCCCTTATGTAACTGAGGAAGGAGAGAAGATCCTGCTTCACCAAGAGACTGTGGACTTCCAGCTGGACTCCAGCCAGGAGTGTCCTTTCCTCCTTCTGCCCCTTACCTTCTACCATGTGCTGGATGAGAGCAGCCCTCTGGTCAGCTTAACAGCTGAGAGCCTGAAGACCAGAGACTTTGAGCTGGTGGTAACCCTCAATGCAACCATGGAGTCCACCGCCGCCACCTGCCAGAGCCGCACTTCCTACCTTCCTCAGGAAGTTCGTTGGGGTTACGAATTTATGCCCCTGCTGTTCAGCACACCTGGGGGCGGGTACATCACAGACTTTGACTACTTCGATAAGGTCCAGGAGAGCAGTGACTCCTCACTGCTTCAGAAGTCGGTGATGGAAAAGCTCCAGCTGGAGGAAGAGTACAGGAAAGAGTGAAAGGATGGAGGAAGCATGGGTAGAATGGACATGGGCATTGCCAAGTGCAGGTGTAGCGGAGTAAGGTGATTACGAAATAATGGGGAAAGACTCTGAACTAAGCTAATTCTAGTTTGATGTTTCTTTATTCTGCTCCGGAGGACCCACTGTCCAGCTTCAACCATTTCTTGCCCCAATACACCTGATCCAGCTAAGGAAAGGCTTTTGTAATCCATTGGTTAGGTAGATTAAGTGTTAAGTCAGGGAATAATTACATATCACTGGTTTGGAACAACCACCTAAGAATTCTAAAACAGGAGATGAGAATCATTAGAATGAATGAATAGACCAGATCTGTGTCCAGAACTGTGTAGGGGACAGAAGGGCACAAACTAACACTAGGTAAAATGTAACATGGATATTTGATGTAGTTGAACAGGTTCAAGTAGAACATGCTTTTACGTATATTGTTGTATTGTCTTAGAATCATTTTGACAGTGATCACAGAATTCATATCAATATTATTTCAATCACCCTCTCGGTTGCTCTATACAACAATGTTTTGAAGCATGTAAACGACTCACAGCGAGAGCTAACCAGGATAAAGTACAGCCTCCACATGGCGGAGTTAGTTTTAACACAATGTTACAACTAGTCCCCCCAAAGTTACCAATAAGAGAAGTCCATACCCACTTAAATTCAAACAGTTCATGTTTTGGACGTTTTGTGCACAGGTTAATTAAAAACACAGGTAACACTTTCTATGAATGTCGCCTTTGTAAGCATCTATGAACACATTTATAACATGTTATAATGTATTCATAAGACATTATAAATATTTATAAAAAAGAATTACACTGAATTACACTTTATAGCCATGTTTATTATACATGATTAGTTGTTAATATAATGCATTATAGTCTTAATAACATGCTATAATGTCAGTGCCAAAGAAGTCAGTCCCAGCTTGGAAAGCATAAAGTAAAGACAAATACCAAGCTAACGGTGGTGTACATTAACTTTCCCACATTGGGTTAAACACTGATGGCAGCTCTAGTTTAAACTCTGACATTTGAAGCCTGTAATGTGCTTTATTATGTATGTTTTAGTGTTTCAGTAAATCCTTCAGTAAATACTTCAACTTGAAGCCTCACTCTTAACACTGGAGGAGGCTTTAGTACAGTACGCTTCACTTTACTTAGAGTGGACAAATACCACTTATGAGCACTTATAATTTGTTATGATCAATACTTATAATGTATTATGTTAACAATTCACAAAGCATAATAAACATGGCTCTAACGTATAGTGCATTTTTATAAATATTTATAGCTATGTTTATAATGTCTTATGAATGCATTATAACATGTTATGAATGTGTTTATAGATGCTTACAAAGGTGACATTCATAGAAAGTGTTACCAAAACACACTACAGATGTCATGTAAATAAAAAATATTATATTTATATTTGCTCTTCTACTTTGTGGTCAAAATCAAAAATAAATTTGTTGTTCAGCCTCTTTTTACTGATCATATTTATTTTTTTATGTCCTTACTTTGAACATTTTAAATACTTAACACACACTTCCCATGAATCTTGTATGCACAATGCATTATAAATGCATTTATTAAGCTTTACATGGCATACAGAATATCTGATAAAACTGGGCATGAGCTTATATAATTGCTCTTAAGTAGTTATAATTGCATGCATAACATTTTATAAAGCAAGAGTATATGACTTCCTAACAACAGGTCACATAATGCAATGTAATATCTGTTCATAAGAACATGTTATAGAGCTTTTTGCCAGGTCATTACAGGCTTTGTTTTTTAAATGCTTTTTAAAATGTAAAGGAAATTTAATTTCAGCACATAATACCTTTTTGGACCTTATAGGAGCTCTTTACAGGTTTTATGTGTGTATTAAACCGGTAATAAAAGACAATCAGCTTAGTAATTTGTGTAGGACGTAGTTTGCAACAAGGCAGCTACCATTTACGGTTGTTATCTACTGGCTAACAAAGTCTAGCCCCTGTAACCAGCTAGACTGTCATTACAATTTTCAGTTAACCAAAAACAAGCTCTATCAAGTTCACCATACAAATGAAAGTTATGCTTAAAATAAATCACTTATTTTTATAAAAATCAGCCCTTGTTCTCGCACTCCATACAGTATCTTCTCCCATGTCCCAGAAGTGATTATACCCCACAAATGTTTACGTCTGGCTCTGTTGTGATGCAGAAAATATACCAGAAGCTTGTTTTAGTGTGTTATAGTGCATTATAACATTCATGTTTACAGTGTTCTTATGAACAGATATTATAGCACATTATGAAACCTGACATTAAAATGTATTACATATGCCATATACCATTGTTACATGACATTTATAAAGTACTTTGAATAGAGGATTCATAGGAAGTGCTACCAAATATTTTTATGCATTTAGGTCAGACAGCTCACCTGATTCAAACAACACGTCACTGTGTATTAAATTGTCTGTGTTTTGCATTGAATTACCAAATGTTTTAGGGACTATTACAACCGTCTCCTCAGTCTGTTAGAGTTGACCTCACCTATGAAGTTAGCTGAAACATTTGCACTTTGCTTTTGGATTATTTGTTCACAAATGCTAAGTGCTGGAAACACTTGTATCAGAGATACAGGTGTAGGTTGCTTGTGTGTGTATATATACACACACTTCGTCTTAAAATAATTTAATTATTTATCCAAAACCAGAATGTTAGGTTGTGCCCGGCTCTCCCCCCTTATTACCACATTAATCTGGAAGGTGTATCAAGTATTAAATAAAAAGTGTGCAAACCAAACATTGGACACTGTTAGATCTCGTATTTAAACCTGAGGTGGTGTGTTAACTTTGAGGAATGATAAATATTTATGTTGCAAACAAAAGACAAGTGGTTTGCAGAACACATGCCATCAGAGGTTTAAAGGTTGTACGGGTCATCGCTGGTGTAAGTGTTCAGCGCTTGATTTCAGGTTTTCAGTGATGACCTACCAAACACAGGATGGTGCCTCAGATATCAGGACCATAGAATAATAAAGGCTAAATGATCAGCCACTTCTGTGGTGATACAGTGTGTGTCTACTACTTACACAAACTAGCATTCAAAAATTTGGAAATGCTGTTCAAAACTTTGTAATCAGTGTTTGCAATAATATATAAATCAATTTGGTTGCAGACAAGAGTACAAAATGATTGTACACAAGTCCTGTGCAACTTCACAGGTTTCATATAACTAATATACTGTTAGAAATAAAGGTTCTGTGCAGGTACGTTTTTTGTTTATCAAGGTACAAACGGTGTAAATGTACCTCAAAGGTACTACAGTGGTTTAAAGGTCCAATTGGGTACCTTAAATAAGTTTGTCCAGTGGAAAAGTACATATTTGTACGTTTTCATAATCTAATGTTTTAAAACAGAACAACTTAATAAAAGCCTGGAGACGAGACGGGGTGTGTGGAGTCAATACAACTTAGAAAATATCATTTCAGTGGATTATGGTACAGTTATGTTCCCTGACTAAAGGTACTGAGATGTACCCTTGAGGGTCCCACCCAAGTAACAAGAGGGGAACTGCCCCAGTGACAGTTTTATACCCTTATTTCTGAGAGTGTACGACACTTGGAATAAAGAGTTAGAGATGTTAGATGCATCCAGAATGATGGAGTAAGACTAACATTACTGGGAAAGCTGCACACAGTTAGAATGAAATCAATGTAATTCAAAGGTTATTCGGAAATAGTTACAGTTCATTGTTTATCCTTTTAGTCACTACTTTTTCACAGAATTCTTGAAATACTGAATACAACATTTAAGAATGCATTTTGGTGAACAGTCTGTAATATTTAAATCCACATTGTGTATATTATGTTTTTAATATAAAATATAAAATATTAATGTTTAATATAAAATTAATATTTCAAATCAAAGTAGTGTAAATGTCTACTATGATGAGGCTGTAGTGATTAGCAAACTGTACTAGCAAAAGAATTGCAATGTTATTTTTTGAATGTCTAAATATAGTAGGCTGCACGGTTATGTGGTTATTTATATTCAAGCAATAGAACACGAGAGGGAGCGTGTTGTCGCAAAATAACATCACGGCTGTGATTTGGTCGCCGTAGATCATCACAGCCATGATGTTATTCGTGAAAACACACAACCTCGAGTGTTTTATTGCTTTTATACAACAGTTAAATAAATAAAGTAATAAATTAATAAACTGGGCCGTGAACGCTGCGTTTAATATGTTTTAATGTTCGCAGTTCCTTCCGCCAAATTATAGTTCCTTAACAAGCAGCTCCGCTCACTCGCTGCACAGTCTGCTGTAAGCCTCACCTTTTGTAGTTTGGACTGAGCCATAAAACTGCCACAATATCAAGTTTAGCTCAGTTTTGTCAATTTTTGCCAGATCAATATTAATGTTGTTTTGTTCCTGCCAGACTGTAAAGCAGCTTACAGTTTAGCTGTTCTTCTGTCACAGCTGCCGACTGAAAAGCTGCTCAGTGGTGATGACAGTTTGGAAATTTAGTGTCATCTCATCTTCAGAGTCTGACCAAATCGGCTGTCGGTCAGATGTGATCTTAAAAGTGTCCATTTTCTGTTTGTGGCAAAGTAAGAAGTAAAAACATTCAAATGGATTGAGCGTCTCCTACAGCTGTCAAAGTCTCAGCGGAGGGATACAGTGTTTGTGAAAAAAGCATGATGTTATGGTGAACCAATGGTCAACCAATCAGCTTACGTGGCCGGAACTAATTGATGTATAACGTAGTTAGAACTCACTGTATTTACTGTATAGAATTCCAGAACAATGACCAGTTCATTAAATGGAAATTTTGTGTATATTTGAAATATTTTATGCATATAGTGCTGTGCAAAACTTTTTACATTACACACATATTTTACATATTACATATATATGTAATATTAACACCAATATGATAAGTAGTGATTTTAATACCTGGTTTTGCTGATCAATGTTTTATCTAATTATCTTAACTTTTATCTTAACTAGTTTACAACTACTTTTTTATAAAAAACATAATTCTGTTACTTTTTAATGTGTTTAGGTTTGTATTTATTCTGATGTCAATGTAGACTTTCTAGTGGCAAAGACTCTTTTATCTTAGGCACATAAGACTTTTGCACAGTACTACATATATTTATTTATACATTGCATTGCAATATCCTATTTTTCATGTATCCTCAGTCTGTTCTGAACTGATCTTATGTTTCTGGCTTTGTTGTGGCAACATATGGGCACACTCTGAGCACGCTCAGTCTGTCAGTCTGACACAGAGAAAGAGAGTGTGTGTGTTGTGGCAACAGAGAAAGTGATGGTTTCTGTTTCTGAGCAGAATGCTATGCAACAGCAATGAGACTTTCCACACGGAGAGAAAAGCAGTTTGGTTTGAAAATAGTTTATTAAATTGACTCAGTAGAAAATCATATAATTTATGAAAGTATATGTTTTCTTCGTTTTGTCAGCAATCTCAGAGCATCAGCCCAGGTGCTCAGTGGACAGAGATTTTACAGAGTTTTCCTTTTCAAACTGTAAATCCTGCTGTCACTGAGCCCGGCCTGAATGCCATACCAGACCAGCTTGCACACAAACAATAAATCTTACACTAGCGCATATAGCTTGCACTTGTAAACAGTCGTATATAGAGCTTAAAGTTCAAAGGCCACAATTGTTCAATTGCCAACTTTGGTCCACGTCTTATTTTTTTTTTTTATTCTAAATCTATCATAAAAATGTCTGTCTTTGGCTGGCTGAGATCAACTCGTAGTGTTTAAATGCATAAGTTATATATCTGTCTTATAAAAAGAAATATAGCACTGAATTGCATACTTCAATCTGACAAACGCACAGCGTTCGCGACTCGGAAAATAACAATAATAACACAAAAAAAATGGTACTTTGGCAAAACCTTCATGGCTGTGTGAGGAACGTCTTCCATAAGGCACTGATTTTTAAAAATCCACTTCTGTCTAAAAAGGTCTGAGGTCATTTAAAAACACTTAAAGAATCGTTTGCTTTCCAGTTTTCTACATAGCAAAACAAAGATGCGTCATTTTCAAGGTTCTTCCCATTTCGACATGAACAGGCAAATGAATGTCCCTTCTTTGTTCTCTATAATGCCATATGAACTACTGTGTAGTATAATACTGATAAACATGGCAATGTACATCCAAAGCAATAATACTTAATGACTGCAACGCCTTATGTTCCCTCCACTGCTTTCCTGACTAATACTCAGCATTTTCCGTCTGACCTCGATCCACGTTTCGCTTTCCTGTAGCTTTCGCTCTCTTCCTTTAGCCCCTCCTTCATCTTTTTATCTTCATATACACCTTCCTAACTCGTTCTCTGCACTCTAACATTTCCATTTTCAAAATAAGGTAGTTTAATACTTTTAAAACATATATAATAATACATAACTGTTCATGCACCTGTTTTTTTTTTCATTTTGGTAAATTAAAAGCCCTTTTTACATGAATGTAACTTGCTAATTGGCGCTTTCACATTCTTATAATGACCTGCTGCTGACGTTCATCTGGACCGTAGTCTGGACCAGGGCTGCACTGTGGCCAAAGGCAAAGAAACTGACGTGTGTTATGCGGCCAGTGCATCTGCAGTCAAATTTGCCATTGCTTTTTGCATAGTCCTTTAGACCCCAAACTACACTGCACTATTCAGAGTCCGAACCACACTGAAAAGTACATGATCCAAATGCACACAACATTGCCACACTGATAAAATATGTTCTGTGCAAAAGTCAGCGACCACTCTGTATTTCTTTATTTCCACTGAAAAAGTCCTTTAAGCCCAAGCTATTTATTTTTCAGGAGATATTTCTGAGCAGATTAGATATAAAGTAATCTAAGTGCATAAGACAGAGGAAAGTCAAAGGAAAATAAGTTTAAAAAAAAAAAGGAGCTTCCAAACTGGAACTAAAGATAAAGAGAGAGCTCTGTAGTGAAGACTCCTAGCAACCGTGCAAGACCTGTTAGACCATCAAAACGGTCACTATCAGATAACAGCACTTAAAGCTTTCATCCTTGAGACTTTGGTGGCTGCCCCAGAGCCCAGACGTCAACATGACCGAATCACTACAGAAACCAACTTCTAAGACTGAACTTTGGAGGTGTGGAAAAATATCCCTGCAGATTTCTTTAAAAGACTGAAAACAAGTCTCCCAAAAAGAAGTGACAAACTAAATACTGACAAACTAAATTAGATTAAGTTGTTGAGGCTTCTGTGTAGTTTTCTGTTAAATACATTGTAGCATCCCGCTACTGGCAGTGAGAGGCTTGGGAGGCGTGACCATACAGAGGGCCATGCAAAGAGCCTCACGGAAGGTGCACACTCCCCTAAAAATGGCCCTTAATGTTGTTCATGTTGCTGATAGTCAGTTAAAGGTATGTGGTATGTGTTTACTGTGTTATTCTGTGTGGTGGAGTGGGGTTTGATAGAGTGGGTTGTGTTTACCATTGAGTGGAACTGTATAGCTAGAGGTGACCTGCCTGCTCTTTGGTCGTGTTTATGAGCCTTTCTGCCTGGTGCTGATAAAAGAGTACTACTTCAGCAGAATCGTGGCTTCCCCTGTGTGTTACTCTATGCAGACAACACACCTTTCGAGTGTAAATAAGGGGTGGTCTTTGACTTTTGCACAGAACTGCATATGTTTGTCAACACAATTTTCAGTTTACCTTCTTTGGCCAATAATTGTGCTAATGTTTACAATTTATTCAAGTGGAAATGATGTACACGTCTGAATCTAGTAAATTCGATGCACCCCTGGTCTAAACATTACATGCAACATCCCAAATTCAAACTAGTTTTTTGCTATGGTGCGCCTCCCCCTCCCTACCTCCCCCAGCCCTGTGAGACAATTACTGTACATTTCCTCAGTTCCCTCGAGTCTCCTGTTTTAATTCTGCACCTGGATGATTCCGGTAGTGGCGCTTGGCTCAGCGGGCTCAGTTTTCCCCCGTTTGCCCGTTTGCCCGTTTTAGCGTTTGGGGGGGGGGGCGCTCCAGTTGAACTCAGGTGAGATGTTTTTTCCTTCCCCATTTCTCCAGTCTAGTAATAGGTGCCCAGGTGGGAGGGCATGTGGGCGGCTGGGTGGCGCGGGCCGGGGTAGGGCGAGCTCCAGTAGGGGTTGGGTGCGGCGAAAAAGCTGGACGATGTGACAGGCAGCGCCTGGGGGTGAGGGGACACAAAGTTCATCTTCTGCGGGTGGGCGTGGTAGGAGCTCATGTAGGGTAGGTCCGTAGGGTACTTGTAGACAGATGGCTCGGGCGGGTGCGGCTGCAGGGCCTGAGCGATGCCGTGGAAGTCGAACTTGTAGGCGTAGCGTTTGCCGTGCACTTTGGTCATGATGTTTTTGTCGTAGTAGTAGCGCAGCGCGCGGCTCAGCTTGTCGTAGTTCATATTGGGCTTGCTCTTGCGCTCGCCCCAGCGCCGCGCCACTTCATCCGGGTCCGTCATCTTGAACTCGCCGTTGGTGCCCTCCCACGTGATGCAACTGGAGTTGGAGCTGTCTGACAACAGCTCCAGCAGGAACTGCCACAGCTGGATCTGACCTGAGCCTGCGGAAAAAAAACACACCATTATACACGTTACTGCGCAAATCATTTTGTTGTTTTGTACAATAATAATGTGCAATGTAGATTAAATTATCAGAAAGTAGATAAAAAGGTATCAAATATTTTACCAGTAGTAACTTCTTATTATAGACCCCAATCTCATAGAAAAACAAATTTCCTTCACGTTTTAAATAAAAACGTTTGATGTAGTGTGTAAACATCGTTTTAAAAGTTTTAAAAATACACCGATCAGGCATAACATTATGACCACCTCCTTGTTTCTATGCTCATTGTCCATTTTATCAGCTCCACTTACTATATAGGTGCACTTTGTAGTTCTACAGTTACAGACTGTAGTCCATCTGTTTCTCTGCATACTTTGTTAGCCCCCGCTTACCCTGTTCTTCAGTGGTCAGGACCCCCATGGACCCTCACAGAGCAGGTACTATTGTGGTGAGTGGTGGATCATTCTCAGCACTGCAGTGACACTGACGTGGTGGTGGTGTGTTAGTGTGTGTTGTGCTGGTCTGAGTGGATCAGACACAGCAGTGCTGCTGGAGTTTTTAAACACCTCAGTGTCACTGCTGGACTGAGAATAGTCCACCAACCAAAAATATCCAGCCACCAGCGTCCTGTGACCACTGATGAAGGACTAGAGGATGACCAACACAAACTGTGCATCAGCAGATGAGCTATCGTCTCTGACTTTACATCTACAAGGTGGACTGACAAGGTAGGAGTGTCTAATAGAGTGGACAGTGAGTGGACACAGTGTTTAAAGACTCCAGCAGCACTGCTGTGTCTGATCCACTTGTACCAGCACAACACACACTAACACACCACCACCACATCAGTGTTACTGCAGTGCTGAGAATGATCCACCACCCAAATAGTACCTGCTCTGTGAGGGTCCATGGGGGTCCTGACCACTGAAGAACAGGGTAAAAGGGGCTAACAAAGTATGCAGAGAAACAGATGGACTACAGTCTGTAACTGTAGAACTACAAAGTGCACCTATATAGTAAGTGGAGCTGATAAAATGGACAATGAGGGTAGAAACAAGGAGATGGTCTTAATGTTATGCCTGATTGGTGTATAAGGAGTGTTTCAGCCTGGACTGCATTATGCACTAGGTAAAATACAGGGCAGTAAATCAGAACAAAGATCATTTACATACAACAGTCCTAAAAACAACCTGTTTAATTCTAAAGGATGAATAGAGGATGGAAAGTGACATGTAAAAATTAATCATGACTATTTCTGACAAGTTTTTATATTTTAAAGTTGTTATATTTATGACACAAACCTACACAAACATCATAAGTGGGCCTCATGGGAAAACTATTAAATTCAAGAGATTAGATATAGAATGATCCAGTAATGAACCCGAGGGATTGTGATAAAAGATCAGGTCGTTATAATGGTATTACGTTTTTATATCAGCACATGTCATCATCACCACAACACATTAACTTCACAGTGTAAGTCAGGACTGTGGCTCACCTGGGTTTGCCAACCTGCTACTTGTGGGTCCCAAAACCTGATATGGATCTGACAGACAGCAGGAGAGCACAGATAAGAGCGCGTTTAATTATTCACACTATAAAATTATTATTAAAAGTCATAGTAACACAGATATATGTTAGATTAGTTAGACAATAGGGCCTCAGATCAGTGGTGAAATAAAAACTACTGCAAGACTGTAAAAACTGGGACACTGCATTGCACAATTTATGATTGCGTGAATATTTCATCATATCCCATCCCAGCTTTCAACTGACATACGTTTCGCTAAATAAGATTTTGTGAGATTCTCACCAAGCTGTGGCCTCTGCTCCTCTGTTTTGGTGACAATGGCTGGTGAGGACTGTGAGACTAACACACACACACACACACACACACACATTCACACAAAGAGTTCACAGCGTTACTGTCACTGCCAGACACCAGGCATACCAGCTACAGCAACTTGTTAGTGAGTTCCACATTAAATTAACTGCTCATCAGCAAACAGCATTAAAATGCAGCAGCACCATCTGCCAGATTTCAGTCATTTTAGCAACTGGCAAAACCAGCAGTGTGCAGACACATATCACTCCAGAAGCATTTTCACATCACTCCAGGATTCACACTCAGTGACCAGAGAAAAAACAGGTTCACTTTTTTACCTTTATTGACCGCTGCTGATTGAGGTGGCCATGCAGATCGTCTGGCGGCTTCATAAGCCAAATCTATCAGAGAGTATACAAAGTAATTAACCCTAGAATGTCTAATAGGGGCTCAAACGTACCCACTAGGGTGTGATTTTGTGGATTAGATTATCAATATAAACAATGAATTCCTTGACATTTCATGTATTCCTCAAAAATCCCGTTTGAGAGCCTAACATTTTGCTGTTGTCGGAGGAAAACCATATCTCCGAAATGATAACTTTACAGGGGAAGGTAAAAACATATGGTAACACTGGTCATAAGGCTTTATGACACCTACATAAGCTTGTCATGACACCTGACATAAGCCTGTATAAATGCTTATTCCAATAGGCATTTTTCACTATAAAGGTTACATTTGCCAGTTTTGATCAAAGTAGTCTTTAGGACAGATGATGCCTATTGGAACAGGCATTTATAAACATTTATGTTGGGCTATGTCATGCTTATGTAGGAATAGTACCCTACAGTAAAGTGTTACCAAACATACTTTAATTTTAATGTCCATTCATCACGAAATGTGCATACAATGTAAAGGGTAACCGGTATTTTCAAATTATGTCAAAAACTGAAAAACGACAAAGGTTTTCTTCCGATATTCCATATTTCTTGCTCTCACAGGTTCCGAAAAATCTCTAACCCAAGTCATCGTAAAGGGGGTCAAAATGACACCTATGCATTTCCTATGGAATTTTGACTCAACGTGGTATTTTTTTATACGTTTTCTCAATAAGAATGTTAAATCCCTTGATATTCCATGGATTAATCAAACATGATAGTGACTTTTAGATATGACTTTATATGATTACTCATCCTTGCAGATGGATCATTTTATTTAGTCTACTAGTTCTAAATAGATTTTTTTTTTTATCATTGTCTATCTTTATATATATAAAAAAAATTACCATAGCGGATATTGCATTTATATACTTTTTTGGGTCATGCATTCTAGGATTAAAACACCACATGCAATACTAGTACTTATTATAGTACTTGGACTTATCAGAGTATGAGTTTTTATCAGAAACACCATGTATGTACACTTTGCTGGCTTATAATTCCTGACTGTAGCCCATCTTTGGCTGTGCAGTTTAGCAACCGGCCTCTACTCTCCTAAAAAAAGGGACCACCGTAGGACCACCACTAGTACAGATACACTCATACTAGCACAAAACATGCTACCATTCCACTAACATGTCAGTGCTCCGGTAGTGCTGAGAATGACCCCCCCACCTCACCCAATTAACATAATCATAATAACAGTCAGTGAGTGTAAAGCCATTATTTTGTTTATCCCTTATAATAGAACACATTGACATGCAGTTCACACTGTGTCCACTAGAGGGTGTGTGTGCAGTATCAGTATGTGCATATGTGTGTGTTTTTGTGGGTGGACATGAGCAGTAGCTGTGTGTGTGTTGTGTGTGTGTGTGTGTGTAGGCTGAGGGCTGGGTTAGTTTCTGTGGTTGACCTCTGTGGTTGAAGTAAGGAGCAGTGGAGTGCTTTACTCCACAACGCGGAAAAAATACAGCAATGTTTAAATATTCACAGTGAATGACCTTTTAAAAAGAAGGGCTCACATTTTCTAGTCAACATTTAAACGTTGTCACCCACTAATATCTCATCAGTAATACAGTATGTTTTTGTAATATACTCTAATACTGGTAGGGAAGGTAAAGCAGTGTCAGGACTGACCTGGTCTAGCGGGGGCCCGGGGGGTGTCAGGTGGGTAGACAGGGGTATTGGGGAAGATGAAGCTTGCACCTCCTAAAGAAGAAGATTCTAATGAATATGATCAGCGTGAATCTTTCCACACAGCGCTGTGCAAAAGTCAGAGACCACCTTTTATTCATTTAATATCCAGTCAAAACAGCCAAAGAAAAAAAAAATTAGTTGCATTTTCTGCGTCCCACGATCCAAATAATCCCAAACTCATTCTGTGATGTTGAGGTCTGGACTCTGGGGTGGTCAGTCCATTGTTGTGAGAGCACTTTGACTGATTTGCAAACTTGTCTATTTCCTTTTCTCAGAAATGGCTTCTTGGCAGCAACTCATCCTTTCAGACTCAGAGTGTCGAGCCTTCTCTCAGTGGAAGGATGGACAGAAACACCCGTGGATGTTTTCAGATCTGAAGCAGCTTGATTTTCTCCTCTCCCTCAAAGTACTGTTTATCTGATGGGGCAGTGTTATTGTGTCTACCAGGTCTTACACGGTTGTTAGGAGTGAAAAAGTCCAGTTTTGGAAGCTTCCTTATCTTTGTGCAATGGATTCTCTTCTATTTAAGCCCAGAATCATCCACATTTTATTATTTAATCAATTTAATCAAATTATTGGTGATCTCTGACTTTTTCCACACACACACACACACACACACACACACACACACACACACATATATATACACATCAGGGATGTCCAATCTTATCCACAAAGGGCCGGTATGGCTGCAAACGAGCTGGATCACAACAGATTCCACTTGTTTAATCATTTGCATAGCCTTCAAACAACTGATCGTGTGCAGTCCTGCTTTGTTGGAATGAAAACCTGCCACACCAGCCCTTTGTGGATAAGATTGGACACCCCTGGTTTACATATACATACATATAGATCATTTTCAACCAAGGAACAAATGGAACAGAGCCAAAAAGGGCACATCCTAAAACTCGAGAACAGCAGAAGAGAGCACTAGCAAAGCGCTTGATTAACTGCATTAAAGCTGACGATTGGAGTTTCAAGCCACCAGAAGAAATCAGAAGAAAAGGCCCTGCAGAACAAAAGTAATAAAACTTGTAGCTTCTCTTGGCCACAAAATAGCCTTTTGCTCCACCTTATTCTGCAGTGAAGCAACAGACTTTAAAATCTGTGTGTAAGTAGGCCTACGCGGCTCTGTGCTGCAGGTGCTCACTGATGCCACCTGGTGGCCCGAAAACGATTTGAGCAGCTTTAAGACAACTGAATCTCAGCTGAGGCAAGAAGCGTTAAGGCTGCAGGTCGGGCGGGGTGGGAGCAATGCGGGTGCGGGGCCGCAGGCCTGCTTACCTGTGTTACGGGCATGCATTAACCGCGGAGAGTTTTGCAAGGCTTTGTCAACATCGTCTGAGGTCAAGTGGGGAAGTGGAGCTGAGAAAGAAAACATTTTGAAAGAGGGGAGTGACAAACATGACATATAAAAAAACAGTTCAAAAACATCCTGTGGTGTGCTGACGAGAGAGAGAGAGAGAGAGAGAGAGAGAGAGAGAGAGAGAGAGAGAGAGAGAGAGAGAAGAAGAGGACAGAGAAAGGGAGAGAAAGACAGAAAGAGAAAGAGAAAGAAAGGGGAGGGACAGAGAAAAAGAGAGAGGGGGAAAGGGAAGGGAAAGAAACAGAAAGAGAGAGGGGGGGAGAGAGAGAAAAGGATAGAGAAAGGGAGAGTAAGACAGACAGGAAAGGAAAGAAGGTGGAGAGACAGAGAAAAAAGAAAGGGGGAAAGGGAATGGAAAAAGACAGAGAGAGAGAAAGAGAGAGAGAGAGAATTAAAGAAAGAGAAAGTTAGAGGTAAGAAAAGAGAGAAAGACAGAGAGAGACAGAGAGAAAATGAAAGAAAGAGAAGGGGCGAGGCGAGAAAAGAGAAAGACAGAGAGAGAGAGAAAGAGAGAGAGTGAAAGAAAGAGAAAGGGAGATGCAAGAAAAGAGAAAGACAGAGAGACAGAGAGACAGAGAGAGAAAATGAAAGAAAGAAGGGGAGAGGCAAGAAAAGAGAGAAAGACAGAGAGAGAGAGAGAGAGAGAGAGAGAAAGAAAGAAAGAGTCGAAGGAAGAGACAAACAAAGGGAGTAAATGAGGGAGAGGGGGAAGAGACAAGGACAGAGAGACAGAGAAGAAGACTGAGAAAGGGAGATAGAGAGACAGAAAGAGGAAGAGAAAGAAAGGGGAGACGGGGGGGCAGAGAAAAGAGAGAGAGGGTGAGAGAGAGAGAGAGAAGGGAAGAGAGAAAAAGAGAAAGAGACTAAGAAAAAAAACATAGTAAAAGCCTCTGTTGTAAGTGTGGCACATGCAATCACAGTGAAAGAGCTTTTAACTGCCAAATGAAACATTCAGTCAATCACCCAGTTAAATACGTGCAGCGATCTCGTCCTTAAATACATTCAGCCAGAGAGAGAGAGAGAGAGAGAGAGATAGAGAGAGTGTGTGCGTGTGTTTGTGTGTGTGTGTGTGTGTGTGAGAGAGAGAGAGAGAGAGAGAGAGTGTGTGTGTGTTTGTGTGTGTGTGTGTGAGAGAGAGAGAGAGAGAGAGAGAGAGTACCAGGGAATGTGTGCTTTGTGGCCAAAGGCAGAGACAGAATGCGGGGATGAAAATAAAGAGGAATTCCTGTCTTTCCCATCACTCACTCCCCTTCCCGTCACATACAGAAACAGAGAGTGACAGGGAATGTCTGAGTAGAGCTCTCTCTCTCTCTCTCTCTGTCTCTCTCTCTGTCTATTCCTGGCTGGCTCAGAGTTTCTCTCTTTCTGTTTAAAGATGCTACATTGCAATATGCTTCTCTCATCACTAATGAAACAGTGAGAGCTAAAAGAGCTCTTCTCTTTTTCCCCTAAGCTCTGTACAGTTCCTGTAAGCACGCTCGGAGAACACGCACTGAAACTCAGCTTACTGTAAACTGAAGCAAATCGACAAATCACTGTTGTCAGAACAAAACCTCATATCCCCATTTTTGTCGTTTTTCAGTTTTCGACATCAGTTGAAAATGCCTGTTGTCCTTTACTTCGTATGTAAGTTTCATGATGAATTGACCCAAAGAAACGGCCCAAAATGGCTTGGAAAAAAGTCTGGTTCCATTGACTTACATCAAAAGTAAAGTATGTTTTTTCCTTCTCCTGTAAAGTTACCATTTGTGGAGATAAGAGGTTTTGTTCCGACAACAGCGAAATACATTAGATGATGAATTAGCATTATAAACAGTGCCTTTAGGATGTCTAGGGTGTCCAGACTCCTTCACTTCTTCCTCATTGTGTTACTTTACAAACTTATTCTAAATATCACTTTATTCTAATTAATCTTGTTGTTAAATTACTATTTTATTTGATATATTTTTTAATGAGTTTACAAACATTTTGCAAAAACTAGTTTATGCTTTTTATGATGCCGTATTGATAGCAATGTATTAGTATAAGATAGTATTGCAGATTGAGGAGAAAAGTTCTAATGCGTTTTTAAAGCAAAGTTGTAATTTAACAAAATCAGGAAGATGTGAGATCTGAATAATGTCTGAATGCACCGTATATATCTGAGGAGATTTAGAAGCAATAAAAATAATCCTCATGTATATACACTAATACATCATCACTGTCAGAAGAAAAGTAAGAAAACATAACATCTTCGTTTTTGTCATTTTTTAAAAAGTTTGCTCTTTACGTTGTGTGTAAGTTTCCTCCTTTTTCCTCACATGTGTACATGTATTAATATGTTTCTAGGCCACCATGAGCGGCAGAATGAGTAAAGAGAGGAATCTGAAGCAGAGGAAATGCCATCTCTGAATAGCAGTCTAAAAGCAGATGAGGGCAGAATAGTGAAGGGGTCAAACTACACAGTGCGCTGCAATGCAAATGGCCAGTACTCTTTCTCTCACTCTGCACATACAGCAGTGTGTGTGTGTGTGTGTGTGTGTAAGGGAGAGAGAGAGAGAGAAACTCACTCTCGCGCAGGTAATGCAGGTGGGACAGCAGGATGTCAGCGTTGTAGCTGGGCGTGAGGCGCTGGAAGTCCTCTTTGGTCATTTTACACAGCTCCTTCCCATCGATGCTGTGGAACAGAGACACGTCCACCTCCAGCAGGCCGTACTCCCTCACTGCCCACTCCAGCCACTGACGCACATGATCCGCCGACCACAGTGTGGGGTCTGCACGGGAGACACGGCCCAGTTACTACATTCTACCTTTTTTAATGTTTATTCCTTCATGCATTCATATGTCCATTCATAGGTTTATTCCTACAGCCGTCTGCATCCATACAGTCTTATGGTCACATTTCATGCTTTGTTGATTTCCTAGGCGAAAATAAGTTAACACATCCTCTACAGGGAAATTATATGACAGTATGCCATTTTTCTGCACACCTTCAGTGCACAATTTCTATTTATTTGCAGAGTTTAACATATTGGAAAAGAATAAAACATAACAGAAAAGGTGCCACAACTTTTGCACAGGCAAAATTTCATGTTTCATTTTTTTTTTAATATTTAAATTCGGCAAATAAACAGTAATTGTGTATTAAAACGTGCAGAAGTGTGCTCTCTGTAGAGGATGCGTTAACTTATTTTAACTTAGGCCCAATCCCAATTCAACCCTTGCCCCTACCACTTAGCCCTTAGCCCTGTCCTGTGTGTCCTGATTCTTGTTGAGATAGAGGGGTAGGGTCAAGTGTTAGGGCTACATGACCCTCCAAATGGAGGTTTTACAGAGTCACACTCCAAACAGAGTGTTAAAAAAAAAAAAATGGCAAGATGGCTGTCCAAACAACCAAAGAAACCCACAAATGTGAGAATTTTCTCCGTTAAAAAATTATAACAAGCACAGAAAATCGCTAATAGTATGCTAATGTCTCAGTAGCTAGCTAAATTTCCCATTGCACCTTAAATAGTTCAGCAGTTCTGACGCCTGAAGCACCAGAATGTAACTGCAACACCATTTAAGGTGGAACGAGAAAATTTGAACGAGAACCTGGTGAATAGCTGACTTCAGCTTCCTGTCACTGAAGAATTAATGGTGGGCAATAACAAATAAATGCACCCCCCCCCTCTTTAAAAGCATATGAGGCCCTAAATGTAACTGAAGCCCAGCAGTGATGTTGCTAAACTTTACCCTCCTCTGATATCACTGAAGACGGGCAGGGTCACCTACAGAGCAGCGCTAGTAGCCTGTTAATGAAATAATGCTCTTCTTTGTCTGAGGGTCCCATTTCGTATGGAAGATTTCAACCACTACCCTTTGTAACTCAGTTCAAGGGGACAAGATGGCACTCGAAAATAAGGGGTAGGGGTAAAAATAAGAAATAGGATTAGGCCTTAGAAAATGAACCGGAAATTCAACCAGAGCTCACTAATTTTTACATCCGACTGTATGTTAAGTATGTAAAGTCTGATGTAGTTACGGCTGCTGCAAGAAATAAAGAGCAGTTGCAACAAAATAACATGTTTGATGCTACTGGCCTACAGAAATGAATCATAACGAGCTCATCCTGTCCACTGGCTCCAAAGCAAATACTTTCAGTTGACGAAATGTGTGGCAATATCAATAAAGGCTACTCTGTTCACTGAACACTGCTGCGTTATGTAACTAATTGAACTGGAATCTAACTTCCCTGTTAATCAATTTTTGTGACATCATTGTTGCAAAAGCTAATAAACATCAATAATAAAAGAGATGGGGTAGTTAGGCCATGGGGTTTAAGTTGGAATATTGTGCCTCCTTAACTTTGTGTCTCTGTTTCGTCTGTGCTCAGCAAGCCATTCAGACCTTCCAGTCAATACATCCCCTGATATAAGACAATTGCATGCAGCTACATGCCATTTTTCTCTTTGATGTATCAAAAGTAACCCTGCTGTGATTTTTAATGAATCAAGAGGCGGCTAGCATATAATGCTGTGACTTAAGTCTTAATACCATTGCCATAGTACACACATGGCTGTCATCATGGTTGTCATCACATGGCTGGGTGAAGAGTCTGTATTTAGAAAGTGTTGGTATGTTGTTGTTTGGTTAAAAGTTTAAAGTTAATATTTTATAATTATAAGTAGGCCGTTAGACAGTCCTGTGTTGCAGTGATGGAGATGTTTAAAGAAAGACAGTGTAATGAGGTGTAAAATTGGTTACAAAACCAATTTGTGCCACCGTGGTCATTTCTTTCACTCCCTTATCTGATTACTATTGCCACCAGGTCAAGTATAATAGCAATAATACTCTGGAGGCAATGCTATAGGGTGAGTTATGAGCTCTTGTAATAAAAATACACACCAGGTGGTCACAGACTCCTTGGAAGTCACATTAAAATCAGCTGAGAGAATCACTATCTTGAAATTGGAAGACAAGCAATAAATGCAAAAAACAAATAAAGTTTACAAGGAAAAGAGCAAAAATAGCTGATTTTCTGGGCCTAATCGTGAAAGCCATTCACAGGGAGCTCCTCCATTAACCTGCTGTAAATAAAAATGAAAAAAGGTGAGATTGTAGCACCAGAGCTTCTCTAAGACCATATAGGTTACAGTGTTAGCGTTAGTGTCATCATTGGTTTCTTTTATAAGAATTTCAAAAGGATGTGCAATTGCTAACACAAAAAAACAATATTTGGAATACAGTTCGCCAAACACTTTCAACAAGGTTACCAAACGGTAAATGTTTTTGGTAAAGGTTTTGGCCTCAACTGTTTTTGTGTTTCATTACAAAACACAGTTCTACACATGCTGTCATGTAAATCACTGTCCTTCAGTCATTACAGTTAAACACAACTAACATATGAATGTCATGGTATAAGGACTAAAAAGCTTACAGTGCTTCAAAATACATTTCCCCCAAACTCTAAACTCATTCTCAAAATAGTGCCTCAAAACTCTACATTATAAAAGAGGAATTCCACCAATTTTTCACACATTTTTGCACAATTACATAGTCAGAATATGAACATGGTTTGATGTGAAATGCTCCATTCTGGAGAAACGTATTAAGTCAGAATTGCTCACAGTGGTGGTGATTTGGATCACCAGTGTTTCAGCAACTAAGAAAAACTGTACATTTTTATGTTCCTTTTAAAACTGAATATTTGGAGTATTTTAGAACCAAATATAATATTACATAAAAACTGATTTGAAATCTACCTACATGCTTTATTTGTATACTGTTTTGTCTTTTTGGTCCTCAGCCCACCACAAATGTCGCACTTTGGCCCCTAAGAGAAAAGGTCTGGGCAGCCCTGCACTAGGCTATAGATGCCGGTGGTGAGGTCACTGCAATGCTCATTCGATAATGAAATGTCATTCAGAAACTCCGGTAACACTTTCTATGAATGTCTCATTTGTAAGCATCTATAAACACATTTATAACATGTTATAATGTATTCATAAGGCATTATAAACATCGTTATAAATATTTATAAAAAAGAATTACACTGAATTACACTTCATAGCCATGTTTATTATACATTATGAATTGCTAATATAATGCATTATAAATAGTGTTAATAACACGTTATAATTTCAGTGCCAAAGAAGTCACTCCCAGCTTGGAGAGCGTAAAATAAAGACAAATACCAAGCTAACGGTGGTGTACATTAACTTTCCCACATTGGGTAAAACACTGATGGCAGCACTAGTTTAAACTCTGACATTTGAAGCCTGTAATGTGCTTTATTATGTATGTTTTAGTGTTTCAGTAAATTCTTCAGTAAATACTTGACTCTTAACACTGGAGGAGGGCGGACAAATACCATGAGCTCTTATAACTTGTTATGATCAGTACTTATGATGTATGATGTTAACAATTCATAATGCATAATAAACATGGCTATAACGTATAATGCATTTTTATAAATATTTACAGCTATGTTTATAATATTTTTTGAATGCATTATAACATGTTATGAATGTGTTTATAGATGCTTACAAAGGTGACATTCATAGAAAGTGTTACCGAAACTCCAATCTTGTCAGTCAGCTCACACTGACACTGTGGTTCACTGCGTAAATCGGTGCGGGTGAATCAGTGTATATAAAACAGTGTATATAAAACAAGGGCTGCTTTTAAACAGAAGGGCAAGTACCTAGCTGTGTGAGAGGAAGAGCTGCCCAATGTGTGGTGGTATTATGGCCTAAGGGGAGAGGATGAGGAGCATGCAGGAGAAGGTAAAGTCCACAGAATAATTTATATGACATCTGGGTCACTATCATAGACCACATAGTCAACTATGGTGGTTGAGTTGACTGACTTTTTTGTGGCTTTGATAAGGCAGATGTTCAGGAATGAAAACAGGCGTTTGAGTACCAGACAAGTTTTGGGGAATGCAAATTACTAATAACTTCTTTATGATAACACTTTACTGTAGGTCATTGTTTATGGCCTACATGACACCTACCTAAGCCCTTCATGACAGCTGACATAAGCCTACATAAACATTTATGTCAGGTGACACTGATTTTGCTCTGACATTACGTAGTATCATGCCGCTTTCTGGGGTGAAATGACATGGACACCGTAGCTCACTAACACAATGCTTAAAATATGATATGAACAAAACAAAACAGAGCTCTTAGTGTGGCCATTATATTTAATTATATTTTTATATTTGTCACAGCATCAGCATTATGTGACACACACTAAGCTACAAAGTCAGCTGTTATTACATGCTACGTCATTTCACCCAAAAAAAGTGTCATGACAACCCAACGTCTGAAAAGTACATGCTGTGCTGTAGCCCTGAATGTCGAAAGTGGATGGAGTTCCCGCTGGGGATGTGCATTTCAACTAATTTTGAGAACTGAGAATCCATCAGGGCTCATAAACAGGTAATTGATTAACCACAGGGAAAATAAACGCCACAAAAAAATCTTTGCTAACGTTAAATGTAGGGCTGCATGCTTTCCTGTTTAGAAAATCAGTAGGTTTTGATGGGTACTGGATGCTGCTTCAGATGAGCTATTTTAGCTTACACAGCTAACCGCAAGAGCACTTGATACTATTAGAGCTTCATCTTTGTACAGGCTCAGTGGAATTTGTGCCAACATGCTAGTTTGTTCAAGAAATATATTTTAAATTAATAATACATCAGTCTTGCCAGAGCTGGCCACGCTATCTCTGCTGTCTCAGTCAAGTACTTGGCAACATGCACATGTGCTCAAGGGCTCATGCATCA